GTTTTGTAAAAATCGACGCGTTTCAAAAAGGCGGGGCATAGAGGAGAAACAATAATGTACAGTATGTGGAAAATAATGTGTTTTTTTTACTTTAAACCGCATAAACACATTTCATTACACCAAATACACAAAATAATGTTCTTTTTAGCAGCATCATATGACCCCTTTAAGACACTTACCTGCTTAACTTACCTACCTGTTCTTGCTCTGTCCATGAAATAGGGTATATGTCGAACGTCACCTGACCAAACCCTGAAAACAGGTCTCATCGCTTCTGCTTGTCAGAGAACGTGTTAACAGCCGTATTAAATAATGGCGATATCTACGGACGATTAAGGTAAACTAAGCTCAGTTAAACTAGCTAGCTGTTTTTATTGTTGACGTTTTATTCCATTTTTATATCAACATAGCAAAAAACAACTAGTCTAACTAATCTAAATTTCAAGCATTATTATTATTATTAAATACAAGAAAACACAAAAAGAACAAATAAACAAATTAGCAATCGTACAAATAAAAACGAATTATTTAATTAACGATTGAAATAAACAGTGTTTTAAGATTTTCATGTATTCAGGCGCAGAAACTGTAATAAATATACATTTCAAATATAGTTACAAAAGTTATTCAGTCAAGAACAGCGAGTGAATTTTCTGTCTTTTGTTTGACTAATGTTATTATAGAGATGGCAGAAGGAATTGATTTAGTGGATTTAGTGTGTGGATTTAGTGTGCGTTAAGGGCACTGTGCTTTGGCGTTTCTAAGACATGGTACAGTCTTGCTCACTTACTTCCTGTCGCGTGCACGCACTCTCAAGTGGCCAAGACCGCAAGTGTGGGTATTTGGACAGGGCAATAGAAGAGGACTCAGTTCAGTATCACGCAGTATGAGAGGCGGCTTTCTGTGCGCACGTCTTGGATATAGTGTGAGTCTTCTTGACTTGAATGGTTTGAAGTTATATTAAAATGCACACAAAGGAATCGAAATTTAAATTTTATAACAAGTATCCGATTCTTAAGTATGCGATTTCAGAATTGGAAGCGATTTTTGATTCCCAAGCCTAGGTAAAGGTTAACATGTTAAATAAAAAGCGCTTTTTTCTTTCTATACCGAAAATGTGCCTGGAGTCCACCGTTACTATAGTACTTATGTGCATCTGATTGTCAGATAAATCGTAGTTTATCTGTCAGTCAGATGCACATAAAAATGCATGCCCTCTTATTTCAATGTTGTTGTTAATGTTGAGGTTATTTCAGCTTCATACTTTATACATATAGTTTAACTGCACTGTTAAAGAGGGCAAGCTTGCATGCACTTAAAGGGGTCATATCATGGGTATATGTCGAACGTCACCTGACCAAACCCGGAAAACAGGTCTCATCGCTTCTGCTTGTCAGAGAACGTGTTAACAGCCGTATTAAATAATGGCGATATCTACGGACGATTAAGGTAAACTAAGCTCAGTTAAACTAGCTAGCTGTTTTTATTGTTGACGTTTTATTCCATTTTTATATCTACATGTTAGTGAAAAGAATAAAAATAAAAATCTTTTAGATATCAATCCACATATGTGATGGACATTGATTATGATCATCTTTGTATCACTTTTGAAGGCATCTTGAGTAAAACAGCTTCATATTTAACGAAGCATATGCAAAACGCTTGAACCGGAAGCGATGAGACCGGTTAACAGAATACGGAAGTCTGTTGCACATAACCCCTATAACTGTGTCCTTCTATCAACCGAGTTTTCTATTTAATTAAACTGCTGAGAGTTCTGGTAATATCAATGAAATGACCCATATTAGCAGCTGTCAAAATTACAATTTAAAATCAGAGCATAGCTCATTTACATTCACTAAAATATTGAAATGTTAACGATACTGATTCAAAACGCTAACATCAGTGATTGTCTGTCAAAGTCAAGCGCAGTTTGAACGCCCCGAGTTTGAACGAATGAGTTTTGATTGGTTTTGCACCCGAGTCAGACCAGTCTGTTATTACCTGAAGCACAGTGTCCGTCAAACACCAGCTCGCCCAGTTTCTCCATCAGCATCTTTGTCTTTTTTGTACTTTTGATCAAAAGTAAATGTAACGAAGTTGAATACTTTATTTTTATTCAAATCAAGTAAAAGTACCAAATTTAATTATACTCAAGAAAGTACATGTACTCAAGTACTGTAACGAAAGTATCTGTAATTAATTAGTTACTTTCCACCTCTGACATACACACACACACATACACACACACACACACACACAAACACATAGAGAGAGAGAGAGGTTACATGAAGTAATTAAAATGTTACTTACTCGAGGTAATGCTGGATCCAGTAATTATATCTGGACTTACAGTGGAAATCGGCCGTGAAATGGTGCTGACATCTGAAAAGAAGGACATTCAAGACATGACTGAAGTGACTTTAAAACTTTGAAATACTTCGTTAAAAAAGAGTGAAGAGAAAAAGCACATTACCTGTGCAGTATCCTGAACACCAGATTTGTGGATTCACAAGTTCATAGACGTAGTAATTTCCTGGACACGCTTTCACTCTGAGGGGGTTTATCTTGTAATCACAGCAGTTACCCCAATAATTGCCACAGACCTCTCTGATCACCACTCCATCCTCTATCTGAGGGTGAGAACCGTTGAGCCACAGATTGATGTTTACATTACAGCTGTATGTACTAACACAGGTCTCTGACATCTGGATGTTCATTCCATAGTAGAAAAGCCGGTACCAGCCATTCCAGGAGAAAGATTCATCACAAACGTAATTTCCACTTTCATTGTTGGCTCTCCAGGGACGATCCAGAGACTCATAGTTGTAGCAGGGATCACTGCTGATGCTGCTGAAAGCAACTGTCATAGAGTTCGGAAAAGTTCTGTTAAAATACTGAGACCCACTTTATATTAAGTGTCATTATACAGTCTTCTAAAAATTTAAATTTGTAATTAAGATAAAGTGCACTTATTGTGCAGATACATGATGCACTGCTTATGTTTAAAAACACATGCATTTATGTACAGCTGTATGTAATGCAGTTCTGTAAGTACACTGTTGACTCATATCTTACAGCATAACGCACCCTTAAACATAATCATACCACTAAAACTGTCCCAAACCTTAACTATATTCCTCCTAATGAGCAACAAAAGTGTTTTGTAACACAACATGAACACTCTGAGAACACTGTACCTTACAATTCATCTTCTCATCTAAATTGTAACACATATTAATATATAGTGTATAAATGATCAGTTACTACAGAAAGTCACAGATGTGAGATGTAAAGTCGGAATCATAAGAAATAAGGTCTGAAATATAAATGATGAGTTTTTCTTGTTCTGTTCTGATGCAAAAACAAGCTTCTGAACATCTGGATGTTACTGGGCTTTGTTTTCATAATGGCCAACTAACTGTACAGTAAATTATCCCTGTGTATTGCAGCTGGTTTTACGAGCCCCACACAGACTGAAAAACAAATGTGTGGCACATTCAATCTGAGTAGATTATATTTTAGCAATAGTGATTTTAACCTTTAATCAGTCAGTTGTGCAGCCTTAAATCCTAACTTTGAGGTGAAGATATTTTTGTCCTGTTATCTAAAAACACATTTTCTGTCAAAAACAAAACATACTTTCTGAATCTGCATGCATCATGAAATGTACTGAACACAAAACTGTTTGGGATTTGTGCATTTCATAAATGTCATAAATAAACACATTATGCTTGGCTTGTCAAATAAAATTTTGTCTCAATACAATAAAAAATGATGAAATTGAAAGTGGGGTCTGATGTGAATAGTGACGTGTAGGACTGCTAAAATATGATCAAGTTTCAAGGTTTCATATCAAGAGATAGGTATCTTTCACTGAATTATTCCTATTACACTTCTTTTATTCAGGAAAAACAAGTTTTGTCATGTAGTTGAACCTTCACATACTTCACAAACGATTCCATTACACAAAATGGAACAAATTCTCTTCATATCTATTTACAGATCTGTATATGCTTGATTAGCTGTTTGTGACACAATAAGGTATACAAACTTATATATTAATTTTTAATTACAGGACGGCATTAGTGAAAGTTAAATTTTACACAATGTTTGGATTTATGTGTTCAGCACAATGTCTGGGTTAATCTGGAATTTGTTGAAAAGTGAAATATGTATAAGAAAAACCTTAAAGTGTCACGGAACCCCTGTGTTTTAGTACAGGTCAATTATACCTCAGATTTAAAAAAAAAAACAACAACTCAAGAAAGCTTTGGAAAAGTGGGAGTCTAGAGGGAGGGAAGTGGGGAGAAAACCAATAAAACACAGATCTACAGCACACGCATTATACAGAATAATGAATATTAAAGTATCAGTGGATAAACTACAGTTGGGTTCTTTTTGCTGTATTTTAAAAATATGACAACAAACTTCCCAGCGCCTTATCATTAGAGATTAATAACAACAATCATGGACAAATCAAACAGGTTTTGATAAACCATTCTTAAGATATATCATCAAATTAGTATTTTATCTGTCCATCAGTTATTGGTCTGTATGAAAAATGAGGAAGAACATTTTTTAAAAGATATTTCATAATATCTTTATGACATTTACCAGCACTAAAGCTTACAGACTCTGATCAAACAACATATTTTAGTTTAATGCCCTTAAGCAGGGAGAATACAGGCATATTTACAGTACATTTCTTTTCATTCTATTTTTTTAATTTCTGGATAATCCATTGTGTCATCACGTTCACAATCAGATGTACAGCTGTATCAGTGCTATGATCTGCACAACATATATTTTATTTGTAAAAGATGAGTTGGAATGTTGTCGCTGATTTTATGAGCACAACACGCACTGAAAAACAAATGTGTGGCATCTGGACAGATTACATTTTTCAACTGCATCAGTCAATTGTCTTAATCAATCAATCAAAAGCCTTAACCTAACTTTTTGAGGTGAAGAAAATATTTATTTAATTAATATTTATCTAAAACACTTTTTTGTCAAAACAAAAATTAATGCGTTGAAATTTGTTTTTTTCAATAAGTAATATTTAAAATACAGCCTATTTTGTTTTGGCAATGTAGACGATTAAGTACATAGATACGATTATTATTATGATTATAACTAATGTTAATCACTGATGGTCTGCTGAATCTGCATGCATCATGAAATGGACTGAACATGAAAGTAGTGAGTGTTGGGGATTTCATTTCATAAATGTCACAAATTCCAAAGACATTTAGCTTGGTTTATCTGATAAAACTTTGTTTCAATAAAAATAATGAAATTAAAAGTGCAAAAAAAAAAAAAAATTGTGTTGGATTGCTAAAATGTGAGAACCTTTCATATCGATATCACTAAATTATTCATATTAAATGTATTTAATTTTTTATATAAAGCTAAGGATGGAAAGATTAGATAAAGTAATATATATATATATACATACACACACACAGACAATATTGTACCTGAAGTTTGTCCATTGATCATTTCACCTGTTAAATACACAGTATAAACATAATGAATTAATATTGAATGTTCACCTACTTACAATATCATTGTAAAGCACATGACAAATAAAACTCTCACCATTAATCAGCAGCAGTAGAGACACACACAGTGAGATCAGAAACCTCATTGTGACCAACGGCAACTCCTGCACCTGCACACATATACGATACTTAAATAAAATGCCAATTTTACAAAATATAAGAAACAGCCAAACTCATTAGAGCCCAATGTGATGAAATGAAGAGAAATAACTTTACCTGAGGTCAAATTCTGCTGCAGAGCAAACTCGGGGATATTCTCTCTTCAGCAGCTGAATACAGTGATGATGATCTGCAGCTCTCACGATCTTATCAGTGCCTTTAATAACTGTGGGTGGGCCTGTACTGGAGCCAGAAATATTTTCTCTACACTAACTTAAATCATTTTCTCATGTGACATGAAGATATTTATTTGAACGGATCGCTTCCTTGTGTGCATCTGCTTTTAGAAATTCCTTCACTCTGTACAGATAGATGTGAATGTAGATGGAATGATGATGAGCAACTTTTTCCAAAGCAGCTTTACAAAAACAGTAAAACAAACCCTCCAGTGAGTGAGCTAAAGGTGACTGGAAAGATTCATGCTAATTAATTTAATAATCTGTTAATGAATTCTGTGTGTAAATCATGTTTAACCAATGACATTAAAAGCTTCAGTTCATCCTAAGACCACTGGAAGCACACAGGTGATCAAGTAATATGGAGTTTATGAGATGTGCAAACTAACAAGATCATAACATAGCAGGTTAATAAGTAAATTAAATGAGTCACATCATGCAAACAACTGATGTCAGTGTTGTGGCTCTAACAGGGAGAAGGGTCTGGCAGCAGACATGCACTTGCAATCTCAGACACCTGCGCTTCTGCAAGTGACGTCAGTTGCAATTTTTATTTATTTTTTAATTTTTTAATTTTTATTGAATCTCTTTGAATTTTACAACAGTAGCTAGGTGGTGAAGACAAGAAAAAAAGACAAAATTACAATGTCACTTGCAATCGCCACCTGCACTCTCCGCTAACTGCGACGTCACTTGCAATCGACACAAATGGTGCGTGTTGCCAATGGAGACGAGATGCTGTGGTGGTTAAACGATTAAAACTAATTTAGTACCATAACGTACAGGGTCCTGCAAGACACCTGCAGGAGAAAAAGACAAGACCCACAAATCCGTGGCCACAGAACAGCAGAATATGAACACAATGCGCAAAGTCTCCCGTTAAGCGTTTTCCTCCCGTAGAAAGCCATAAACACTTAAAGGGATAGTTCACCCAAAAATGAAATTGGCCCATGATTTACTCACCCTCAAGCCATCCTAGGTGTATATGACTTTCTTCTTTCAGATGGATCCATTCGGAGTTATATTAAAAATTGTCCTGGCTCTTCCAAGCTTTATAATGGCAGTGGGTGGGTGTTTCTGTTCAACAGTCCAAAAGAAGTCCTATAAAGTGCATCCATCCGTAATAAAAAAAGTGTCCCACACGGCTCCGGGGTCGTAATAAAGGCCTCCTGTAGCGAATCTATGCTTTTTTGTAAGAAAAATATGATTCAATTCCTCCGTCCTCGCGTCTTTTCCTTGCGTCCTTCCCTCGCATCCTGAAGGGGTGGAGCTAAGACGCGAGGAAAGGAATCGAGGATGCACAAATAAGAATTGAGAAGCACCCCAAGTGAAATGATATATCCTCGCTCCCTTTAGCGTCACTTCAAAGCATCATCAGCTGCGCTAAAGGGATCTGCCCTTATGTTGTTAAAGTTTGTTATTTAAGACATTCATAATAAATATTAATAAAGCAAGATTCCCTGTTTTAAATATATGACATGTATGGTTATTTAAACTGCAAAGGTAAAATGTAAATTAAAATTATTACAACAGATGTGAAGGGGGAGGAGAATTTAATCGTGCATCAGTTTTTTCGATGAAAAACACTTCCGCAAAGGATACACCTGTGTATCCTCGCTCATGACTCCTCAGGAAGCCTCCTCACTCCTCTATCCTCGCCTCCTCGCGGTGCGGCTGAGCGCGATCGGTTTCCGGGTCATAGGATGGAGGACGGAGGAGCGAGGAAATGAGGAGGGATACTGAGAAGCACCTCATCGGTGCGTTCCAAATGGCATATATCGCCCTCCGAAGGGCACTTCGGAGTGAAAACAATCATGGCCGCCATATTGAAGGGTCGTTCCAAACCGAAGTGCTCAAAACTGGCCACTTCAAAGGGCCCTATGGAATGAAGGATTTCGAAAGGGTACAATTGATGGACACTTCAGGCCCCCACGATTCTTTGCACAGGGAAGTTGTTTGGCGTCACAGAGTTCAACTTCACCTATAAATGTATGTATAGACGATTCAACCAGTGTACAAAATGTGCGACGAAGGCCCCTCCTTGATCGTCTCGTTAAGGTGACGCAGAAGTGCATTCCAAAAAAATGCTGCGTCCCAATGTACCACTTATACTACGCCCTTAAAGTATGTACTCTTTTGGTGAAGAAAAAGTACACACTTTTGAGTGTGTAGTAGAAGAGTAGGCAAGCTTTGGGACATAGTATAACGTCATACAATTGCGTCTTTAACGGAGCGCTCTGTCGCATAATTACACGCATCCTGTCACTGTAAACTGGCCTGTCAATCATCTTGTCACAGTTAACATCCTCCACATTGCATTTCATTTAACTTTCTACCGTATCGGAGAGAAATGAAGTAGCACGTTGATCTGCCAGCCGTGGGTCTTTATTCTGCTCATATTTTTTTGCATAATGATGCATTTAAAAGTTAATGGCCAAACTGATGTTTATAAAAGTTCACGTTGTTGTAGATGAAATATCCTAACACAGATAACATTGAATACAATTTTTTACCATGTTATTGACTCCCTTTTGCAGCCAGTCGATGAATTACAGTTTAAGTCACTTCCTTGTTGGCTTCACGAGAGAGAGCGGGAGGTTGCCCCTTGGTCGCGCTCATCCGCCATGTTTGTAGTTTTTTATTCGTGTTTGTAGTTCTGAACAGAATCATGTCAAAGCGCAATGGATTGTGGGTGATATTAGCCATCAGAGTGTGCACGGATCCAAACTTCACAAATCTACCTGAAATAGTAGACCATCCGGGGACTTCTGGCATACTCTTTTCAACATACTATGCTTTGGGACACACTTATTCTAATCTCACATACTATTTAGGATGGATAGTATGAACATTGGGACACAGGGAACACATGCAAAGGAAGTGCATCCATCACATTTTCGACACCTCATGTACTTTCTCCCTGTGTTGTGGGGCCAGTGGTTCAAGTTGTCAAATCTGGCAGCCTCACATATTGCAGAGCCCAACACATGCCCCTGTGGCCTCATCCCATGGTGCTGGAGGAGACAACCAGCCTCCCCTACACCCTTCAACCCTTCGAAGCTCTCACTCTGGAGGGTAAACCCTTTGAAGGGGTTAGGGCATAGGGATGAGCCCTTCCGAATGGAACGCAGGGATTGTCTGCAGTCAGACCCTAATGCCAACAGGAGGAAACCTCTCTGAGATAAAGGTAAGTGCTGCCACCTGCTGGACAGAGAGAACTGCAACATGATCCAAAGCCAGATTTCTTTTCTTCTGCGGAACATAAAATACATTTAAATGGTTTTTCGTGTTTTTCAATACATTAGCAGTTTATTTAGTGATGTCAAGCCCCAGCAAACAAATAAACAAATAAAAGTAAATATAATGTGTGTGTGTGTGTGTGTGTGTGTGTATATATATATATATATATATGCTTTTTACTCACCCTCATGTTGTTCCAATGCCGTCTGACTTTGTTACTTCATTAATTTATTAATTTTTGTGAATTGCATTGTTACTTTATTTGTTTATGCTACATTTTAATTTAAGTATTACATTAAAATTACATTTTTGGCATATTATTCTTATCCATTAGTTTTTGTCTTTTTAACTAATTTTATTTAATTAATTTATTCCTTTTTGTGAATTGTATCATTTTATTTGTTTATGCTGACTTTAATTTAATTGAATCAAATAGTTTAATTATTATATATATTTATTTGGCATATTATCTGTATCTGTTAATTTTTAGTTTTTAATTAATCTCGTTTGACAAATGTTACTTCATTAATTTATTTATCGCTATTTTACTGTATTTGTTAATGCTGCATTATGTGCGTGTGTGTGTATGTTTATGTGTGTATATATTTATATTTATTACATATATTAATATTATATATTTAATTATTAAATAAAATTTAAATGCAGCATAAACAAATACAGTAACAATATATTATTTAAATAATTGAAACAATAATTAAAACATTTAATTTAATAATTTAATTGAAATAATATTTTACTTTAATATTATTTTTACTCAGTCATGTTGTTCCAATCACAGGAAAACATGCTGCTATTTACACTACAATACAAGTTAAAATGGGACAGAAAACACCATAAAAGCAAACATGAAAAGCATCTATATGAATTGTGTGCTACATTCAAAGTCTTTTGAAGTCATAAAATAGCCTTGTATTGTATGAACATCTTGCAGAATAAATGTAGCACTACATCAAAACAGTATACTTCAATTTATTTGGTCAGTAAAATCAACGTATCATCTTCATTTCAAGTGAAAGAGGAGAGCAACATTCTCTCGCACGCTCATCTCAATCACAGACACACTTACATTCACGAGCATTCAGCGAAAGCAAGTCAAAGGTGAATGATTCTGGTTAAAATCACTGAATCATAAACAAATCAGTGCATAAGTACAACTGTGAATATTATTATATGTTAAGGTCAAATAAATGAATTTCCCACATGTTCATTACAGTTACATGTGCTCATCTCTACTGTGTGCTGTATTAATATTGTACTCAGATAATAGGATTGTTGTTAGCAAATTCAAAGAAGTCTTCTGTCTCCTATTTGCTTTAAACTACACCAAAACTCTGTTCCGAACCCCAGTGAGCTGCCTATCTAGACAGCATTTTAAGACATCATAATAATTATGCTACCTTCAAGATACTTTCATTTGGTCAAAATGTTAAAGGCAATCCCATAATGCATTGCAAACTCTATTGGAATTGATTGTCTTCTGTGTGCATCACATGAAGAGCACTATTTGTATGACGAACGGAGTTGTGGCTTAACAAAATTAGTCTCACCCAAGTTCACCCAAAAATGAAAATTCTATCATTTACTCATTCTCTTTCTTCAACTGAGCACAAACGAAGATATTTTGAATAATGCTGTTGAACAAACAGTTGACGGTAGCCATTGACTTCCATAGTATGGAGAAAAAAATACTATGGAAGTCAATGGCTACCGTCAACTGTTTGATTACAAACATTCTTTAAATATCTTTTTTTTGTGTTCAACATTTGTTTTCTTGTCGAATACCCCGTTTCTTTCATAAATGCATCATATTATGCAAGTAAAATGGATCGTGAGCCGAGTTTCATGTTAACTTTAATTCTAATGCCTTCATGCACCAGTTTAACGCATGTATACAATTTGGAAACATTTGGAAAAGCATGACCGTCGTCATGTCAGTGTCAATCTTCCCTTGTCTTCTGCTCTTCATCCTCATCATCCTCTTCCTCCGTCACTGGATTCCCACCAGGTCAGTGATGGGTGGCGCAAACACCATCAGCTCCTGATATTTGTGGAAGAACAGACGCAGACGGGAGACGTAACCGTCCTCCAGATACGGCAACTTCTTCTCCTTCAGATACCGAGACACTATAGGCTTCACCTGAGACAATAAACACATGCATATTCATTATTACGATTCATTTACTATTAGATATATTTACTTGCCATATTATCTTTATCAATTTGTTTATCATTTTTAATGAATTTTGTTTGAATAATGTTGCTTCATTAATTTATTCATTTTTTTGTGAATTGTATTGTTAATATTGTTACTTTGTTTATCCTGCATTTTAATTTAATTTAAACAATTTGCTTTACATTAAATAATTTTTTTTACTTATACATATTTATTGGCTGTATTTATCCTTGCCATTTTAATGAATCTTGACTAATGTTAGTTCATTAATTTATTCCTTTTTTGTGAATCATATTGTTACTTGATTTGTTAATGCTGCATTTTAATTTAATTAAATATTAAATTATTAATTATTTTAAATTATTATAAAAAATGTTACTTTATTTTTTTATGTTGCATTTTAATCTAAATATTGAGTTAAGTTATTAATAACGTGTACATTAAATTGCATTTTTTTGGGGGGGGCATATCCTTATCCATTAGTATAATTATTAAATTTAATTATTACTTTTTGTGAATTCTATTAATACTTTATTTGTTAAGGCTGCATTTTAAGTTAATTTAATAAATGATTTTAAATTATTTTAAATATTTAATTATTTACATTATTAAACAATTGAATATTGTCTATGTAATATTACATTTTTAAATTATATTATTAAATATTAATATTATAATTATATATTATAAATTATTAAATTAAATTACTTGTTACATGTTCCCTATGTCTTGTCTGGACTTTTATGTTGAAGTGTTTCCTGTGCTTTGTTTGTAGTCTGTTTGTTTATCGGTTCCTCTTGATTAGTCTCCCCAGGTGTGTCTTGTTATCTCGTTAAGCTCGTTAGCCCCCCATGTAAATATATATCCCTTGTATTTCACTTATCCTTTGTCAGTCATTGTTTCCTGTAATGCTCTTGTTCTTTTCTCATTCTTGTTTGGTTTCATTTATTAAATACCCTGCTCCTAGATCCACGTTTCTGCCTGCACATTACATTATTCAATTAAAATGCAGCATAAACATTTAGGAAAAAAATAACATGTCAATATTAAAATAATAAATTAATTAAAACAATTAAAATGATTTTATTGATTAATTTAATTGAAATATTAAAAAATTACATGATTAAATGACAAATCAATTATTTACATGATTTAATCATTTAATTTTTGCTGAATTTTTTTTAATATACTGCAGTTTGAGAAACCCTTTGTTCCATGTCCGTATAAGCTGTGGCTGTCAGTATGAACGCTCACCTTCAGGCACATGTTGTCAGACAGGAATGGGAAGAGGTGATGCTCTACGTGGCAGCTGATGAGGGAATGGCCGAAGGTCCAGTCCAGCAGCGGGTTTCGGGGAAGGTTCAGGACTCCGTGTGTCATCTGGTAGATGCGTTTGGGCCGGTGAGTGGCAGAAAACATTGACAGGCCGATGTGCTGCGAAAGGGGAGACACAGAAACCAACTATAAAAAAAGAAAACTGCAACTACAACTCTATAGTAACAATGAAATGCTGAGACAGAGAAGATTATGGCGCCTTTAAGAGATTCAACCTTTAGTTCAGTGTGTGTGTGTTTTATCTTTAAGTGGGATGAAACACGTTCAGCGGCCCGAGAGACGCCACTGACACCACAGGGGGCCCAAACTAGACAAAACTTATAGCACATAGCACATACAAGCATTTATCACACACACATACTGTAACACACTGCAGCTATGAACAGAGCAACACAGCATTCACTCCTAAACAAAGGTCTCACACATCGCTGTGGGTCTCAGAGCCGACGGCTGCCCTTTAAAAAGCTTTAAACCAGCAAAAAATACCTCAGAGGATCAGCACAATACAAAAGTACATTCTCCCTTTGCTCTGCCTGGGAAAATCATGCGTGAATTGTTCTCCACCGTTTTATGTTTTTCTACAAACGAACCCTGTGAACCTCCGCGAGCAGGAGAGGAGAACAAAGCCGCATTGAGCAGGTCTCGCGGGAAAGGATGGAGAGACACACACAGACAGGGATGGATTGATGCAGACTTTAGCCGAATAGCTTCGAAAGCTCACGCTCAGAATTATTACTCTTATGAACCAGAGAGAGACGACAGAATAATGTAGTGCTGAAGTGTTACTGTACGGTGAGAGAGTTTGTTGGTGGAGTGTGTGGTGCACTGGTTAAAGCTCAGGACCAAAGAAATACTACCGCCACTGTACCTTAACTCAACTGTTTTTATATTTTCTGAAGACAAGCAGTGTAAAAACAACTATAGCATGGAAAACCAACTGTTTTTATATAATGTGAAGAAAAGTGGTATACATAATTTAATTTATATTTTCTGAGCATGTAAAAAACACTATAACAATAAAAAAAACTACTATATTTATAATACTATAATTTATATTTTCTGAGCATGTAAAAAACTATATTTTTATATTTTCTGAAGATAAGCAGTGTAAAAAATGTACCCTATATTTTCTGATCATGCAAAAAAACAAAGTCATGCAAAACCAATTGGAATGATTCAATCTTATCTTTTCTGAAGATAAGTCATATAAACAATTTAATTTTCATTTTCTGAGCATGCACAAACAACTAAATTTTTATATTTTCTGAAGATACGTAGTGTAAATAATATGATTGATATTTTCTGAGCATGCAAAAACAACTACATCATGCAAACAACTGTTTATATTTTCTGATGATAAGTAGTGTAAATAATTACATTTATATTTTCCGAGCATGGAAAAACAACTACAGCATACAAAACAACTATTTTTTATATATTTTCTAAAGATAAGCGATATTCTCGATTTCATTTTCTGAGCATGCAAAAACAACTATAACATGTAAAAACAACTATATATTTTTGCTTATAAGTGGTAGAAATTATATAATTTATATTTACTGAGAATGTCAAAAACAGTCATAGCATGCAAAAACTATATTTGATATTTTCCTGAAGATAATTGGTGTAAATAATTGAAGTAAATTTTCTGAGCATGCAAA